TTACAGAACATAGATGTAAAAATGCTCAACAAAATATCAGCAAACATAATCAGACAATACATAAAAAAGATCATACACTATGATTAAGTTGGATTCATCCTAGGGACACAAGGATGGTTAAACATACCAAATCAATCAATGTGATATACCACATCAACAAAAGAAAGGGGGAAAAAAAGCACACATTAATCTCAATAGATGCAAAAAAAGCATCTGATAAAGTTCAACACCCATTTATGAAAAAAACTCTTACCAAAGTGGGTATAGAGGGAACATATCTCAACATAATAAAAGCTATTTCTGACAAACCCACAGCCAGCATAATACTCAATAGTGAAAAGCTGAAAGCCTTCCCACTAAAATCCGGAATAAGACAAGGATGCCTACTCTCACCACTTCTACTCAACATAGTATTGGAAGACCTAGCCATAGCAATCAGACAAGAAAAAGAAATAAAAGGGATCCAAATTGGAAGAGAAGAGGTAAAATTATCATGATATACAGATGACATGATTCTATACACAGAAAACCCTAAAGGCTCCACACAAAAACTACTAGAGCTAATAAGAGAATTTGGCAAGGTAGCAGGATACCAGATCAACATACAGAAATCTGTTGCATTTCTTTACACTAACAATACAATATCAGAAAAGGAAAGTAAAGAAATAATCCCCTTTAAAATCTCAAAAAAAAAACCCAAAATACTTTAGGAATAAACCCGACCAAGGAGGCGAAAGACTTATATATGGGGAACTACAAAACACTGATTGAGGAAATTAAAGATGATTTTTTTAATGAAAAGATATCCCACACTCTTGGACTGGAAGAATTAACAGTGTTAAAATGGTCATAATACCCAAAGCAATATACAGATTTAATGTGATCCCTATCAAATTACCCAGGACATTTTTCACAGAACTAGAACAAATAATCCTAAAATTTATATGGAAGCACAAAAGACCCAGAATTGCCAAAGCAATACTAAAGAAAAAGAACAAAACTGGAGGAATAACCCTCTCAGACTTCAAACAATATTACAGACTCTATAATCAAGACAGAGTGGTACTGGCACAAAAACAGTCATATGGGTCAATGGAGCAGAATAGAGAGCCCAGAAACCCACACACTTACTGTCAATTAATCTTCAACCGAGGGGGCAAGAATATACAATAGAGAAAAGACAGTCTCTTTAGCAAATGGTGTTGGGAAAGCTGGAAAGCTCCATGGAAATCAATGAAGTTTAGAACACTCCCTCACACCATACACAAAAATAAACTCAAAATGGCTTAAAGACTTAAACATAAGACAAGACACTATAAACCTCCTAGAGGAAAACATAGGCAAACATTCTCTGACATAAATCTTAGCAATGTTCTCCTAGGGCAGTCTACCCAGGTAATAGAAAGAAAAGCAAAAATAAACAAATGACCTAATTAAACTTACAAGCTTTTGTATAGCAAAGGAAACTATAAACAAAACAAAAAGACAACCTACAAAATGGGAGAAAATATTTGCAAACGATGCTACTGACAAGGGCTTAATCTCCAGAATATACAAACAGCTCATACAACTTAATAACAAAAAAACAAACAAACCAATTCAAAAATGGGCAGAAGACCTAAACAAACAGTCCTCCAATGAAGACATACAAATGGCCAACAGGCACATGAAAAGATGCTCAATATCACTAATTATCAGAGAATTGCAAATCAAAACTACAATGAGGAATCACCTCACACCAGTCAGAATGGCCATCATTAAAAAAAGTCCACAAACAGTAAATGCTGGGCAGGGTGTGGAGAAAAGGGAACTCTCCTCCACTGTTGCTGGGAATGCAGTTTGGTGCAGCCATTAGATTCCTTAAAAAACTAAAACAGACTTACTATATGATCTAGCAATCCCACTCCTGGGCATATTTCAGGAGGGGACTCTAATTCAAAAAGATGTATGCACCCCAATGTTCACAGCAGCATTATTTACATTAGCCAAGACATGGAAACAACTTAAATGTCCATTGACAGAAGACTGGATAAAGCAGTTGTGGTGTGTGTGTGTGTGTGTGTGTGTGTGTGTGTGTGTGTGTAATGGAATACTATTCAGCCATTAAAAAGAATAAAATAATGCCATTTGCTGCAACATGGATGGACCTAGAGATCGTCATTCTAAGTGAAGTAAGCCAGAAAGAGAATGAAAAATACTGTATGATATCACCTATATGTGGAATCTAAACAAAAAATACAAATAAACTTATTTACAAAACAGAAACAGACTCACAGACATAGAAAACAAACTTACAGTTACCAGGGTGGGAAGGGATGGGAAGGGATAAATAGGGAGCTTGAGATTTGCAGATACCAACTATTATATATAAAATAGATAAATAATAAGTTTATACTATATAGCACAGGGAACTATATTCAATATCTTGGAGTGACCTATAATGAAAAAGAATATGAAAAGGAATATATGTATGTACATGTATGACTGAAATATTATGCTGTGCTCCAGAAATTGACACAACATTGTAAATTGACTATACTTCAATTGAAAAATGAAAGAAAATGTAGAATATATATTATGATTTTAACTTACATGTAAACATCCTTTAAATAACAACTATAGGAAAAATTAACCAAAATGATAATAGTCCTGTCACAGGCAACAATACAATAGTAATTCTCTCTCCTTAAATTATTTGTAATTTTATATAGTAAGTCTCAGTTCTTAAAGCATAAAGCTCTCAAAAAACATCTAACTTCTAACCATTATTGGAAGTAAATTCAGGACTAGAAATTGCCCCCAGCAAAGGGAGAGGATGATACACTAATACTGATTTTTAATGTACATTTAATCAATACATTTATAAAGAGCATGCATGAGAAATCCAGAATACACCAGTTTTACAGGTAAGTGAAATTCAGCATTTTAAAATCAAAATTTGGAAACTCCCATCCATCCCGAAAGTAGTTTAAAAATCAAGTCAAAGCTTGTTCACAGTTTTGGGCCTGGAATTAGCTCCGGAACTGATGCAATCTGAAACCAGAGCCAAAAAGTGTTTACGAAAGCCTTTGTCCCAAAGGGAGAAGACTTCTCTAACTCTCCAGAAGTGATGCTGTTGGGATTGCCTTGAGATTTTAACAAAGGTAGAAGGCAGGAATGCTAATATTAAATTCATTCTGAAATATTTTCCTTTCCGGCAAAAATGAAAGCTAAATACTTTTTTTCAGAGTATGCAATTTGCAACCAAGCCCTCCTTTATGAAAGGTTTTAATTAGTTGCTTGTCCATTTGCTCACCTTTCCTGGGAACCATAGCATAAACAGGAAGTTCATGCCTCTGGGGCTTATTTGTTGCAGAATGGAAAAAATGAAGTCGTGGACTTTCTCAAGGATAATTTAGAGAGAAAGGATCATTAAATTACTGTACTCCCCTCCTTATCTTCTCCAGGAGGTTTATAAACCAAGTGACTGCACAAACTGTACTCCACCCCCAGGAATATAAACAGTTCTTTTCCCACATGTGACTAGAAATCAACTTAAGAGCTCTGCATAGGGCTTGTACCACACACGAGTCTACACTCCGAAGCAAAGTCATCAGCCACTCTTAACACCTGTTGCAATTGTGTGTGCTCCAGTTCTCACCCTGACAACCTCAAGGCTCCAGAACTAAAACCAGAGAGAAAGTCTATCATTTCAATTACCCAAACACCACAAAGTATTGGATATTATATGGCCAAAGGGAGATATTTGTGGTGACGGAATAGCTCTGTATCTTGATTGCAGCGGTGGTTATACGAATGGATGCCTGTGATAAAAAAGGCACAGAACTATACACACATCTTGTACCACTGTCAATTTTCCCGCTTTGATACTACAGTTAAGATGTAACTGTTGTGGGAAATTGGTACACATAACCCCCCTGGACTGTATTTGCAACTTCCTGAGAACCTATATTTATTTCAAAATAAAATGTTTTTAGAAGTGTACCTGCTCGTGTGCATCACTGTACTTTGATCAGTTTGCATTGGGACAAGTCACGCAGAATGAAATGTAGCCTGGAATTCAAATGTGAGATTTCAGCTTGAGGTGGGGAAGGCCTTTGCCTGAGCTTTGCTCTCTGCCTGGGTATCCCTTTCCGACCTCCCGCCCAGCCTGTCCCCCTTCCCAAGGCTGGCTCCTTCTCATCTTTCAGGTCACATCTCAATGCCACCTCCTTTCAGAGAAGCCTTACCTTGTCCCCATAACTAAAGTGACTGCCCTCTGCTATTCTCGGAGTCCCCCGTGCCCTTCATCTGCTCTTCGCCACGCGCAATGATTTGGAGTGACTTGGAATGACTTGGTTTGTTTACTTGCTCGTCACCTGTATCAACTCCGCGGGGGCAGGCACCGTGTCTGTCTCTGGCCCGCTCTACCCCAGGTAATGAGCACACTGCTTGGGGATGGCAGATGCTCGGAAAGGCTTTTATCTGAATAAACGCACCTCACTGGAATTCACTCATTCCCTCAGGCTCGGGGGTGGTCGCGCCGGTTTCTCTCCCTCGCACCATCGGTCCTCTTAAGTTCAGGGCCGTGCTCGCGCCCTCACTTTGACCACCCGGGTGCCTCCTCCCTTCACTCGGACCCCACCCCCCAAGGAGGGCTCCATTTTCTTCTAATTCGTCTGCCCACAGGGGCGACTTTTTCTTTTTCACAGGTTTTTCTCAGGCCGTGCCCTGCGCCCCCTCCTCCGTCTCCTCAGGCGCCACCACATGCCCCGCGGCCTCCGCCCCTCCCTTCCGGTGCTACCCCTCTCTTCCGGTGCTGCTCCCCTCAACACCCAGCCAGGACCCCCGCCCTGGGGGCGCCTCTCCCCTCAGGCCACGCCCCTTAGCCCTAGGACTGGCGGGAATCGCGGGAGAAGCCGCCCCGCGGGAGGGGCGGGCTGCAGAGGGTGGGGGCGTGTCCTCCTCTGTCCTGGGCGTCGATTGGCCGGACCTCAGGGAGGGGGCGGGTCTGCTGCCTGAGTCTCGGGTTCTCTGGGCTCCTCGGGGCATTCCTCGCACCTCCCGCTCCGGCTCCGGCAACCTAGACGCGAGAGCAGCGACCCTGACCCGGACAGTATGTCTGACAAGCGGCCAGCAGCGGACACCCAATCCCGGCGGCTCCCCGACTCCTTCAAGGGTGAGCCCCGCGCCCCTGGCGAGGCCCGTGGGGTCGCTCGCCTCACCTGAACCCTACCCTCCGGAACGAGCCCCAGCCCAAAGGTCCCAGGGCGGGCTCCGATGTTTCTTAGCCGAGCGACGACTGCTCAGAGCCGCGGTCTCCCCCTCCGCTTGTACGCTGAGAATGACGAGCTGTGCTTCGCGGGCTGGGGGTCAGGTTAGGGATGGTAGGCTGCAGAGTACACGTCCCTTGCCCGGCACACCGTGGACGCGCCAACAGAGGGCGCGTCTCCAGTGCCCGCAGCCAGAGCAGAGGCTTGCGTTATCCAGCGGCTGCCAGATGCCAGGCCCTGTGCCAGCGCTTTCCGCCCTTTATCTCGTGGCATGCACGCGGACGAGGAAATGCACGAGTGACGGGCGGCCAGCGAGTGGTAGGGCAGGGACCCAAACCTGCGCGCCACACCCGGGAGCCTGCGTCTTCGCGTGACTCGCTCTTCCTTTTCTCCCCATCGGAGGCCATCTCCAACACCCGGCCCGCTCGCGCCCACCTCCTCTCCAAATGGAAAAAACTCCTGCTGTCCACCCTGGCCAATTTCCTATTCAGCAGCAAGTTTGGCCACAAGTTTCCGATACATTTGCAGAAGATAAGAGGTTCTCTTTTGAGCATTCTTCCCATATCTCTTTCCAGCTTCACTCTTTTGCACCATTCTGCCCCCTCCACTTTACTTCCTTTGTCCCAGGAACCTCGTCTTCCGAGCTTTTGTCCCCTACATGGAACTCTAAATTCCCCACCCTACCAGGGCCTTCCCAATATTGAAGGCAGAAATTGTGTGAGTGGGGCAATTGGTTCCCCGGTGAAGGAACTAGTACCCTTGAGATGGCTATCACCTTGAACCTTTATTGGCTAACCCCTTTGCGGGGGGGTGGCGGAGGAAGTTCATAAAGAGAGGCAATTAACCTCTCAGGGATACTGGTTCCTTCCCAGGGGCTCTTACTGATCCAAAGGAATTATTTCAAAGGATGGAATTTCAAACAGAATGACATCGTGAAAGAAATTCAGGGGACTGGGTGGGCTTTTCCAGAGCCCCACAAAGAACGCTATACGGGACTCATCTGATTATTTATAATGCCAGTCTCGTCCACTGATTGTATATGTCCCCCAGCCCCTTCCCCAGCAATTTTTGTCTTTAGTTCCTTCCCAGGAACTTCAAAGGAATTGTAAAAATCTTAATCCCTCCCTCTCTACTAGTACTTTGGAGAGTTATCATCCCAAATCAGGAGTGTAACAGGGAGGATGTACTTGAAGAAACTGATACTCAGAGAAGTTAAATTATTTTCAAGTCACACAGTTTATAAGTAAGAGAGCCATGTTTTAAGTCTGGGTTTGACTGATTCTAAAACTTGCCCGTATAAAAATTGTGCAGTCCTCCTCTTCGGCAGTTCACTCTTCCTAGATAGGAAATTAGTTGCTTAGGAAGTTAGTTAGATCCTTTCCTCTGTACCCTGACCTCCTGGTGGGAGGGTGAAGGACCATGAACACAATGTTAGAAGTTTGGTGAAACTGTAGTGAGAAATCTGTAGAAGTTCTTTGGGAATAAACATGATCTTTGTACTTAGTTTTTTTCATGGTTACAGACCAGCTTTCCCTCCTAAGTTCTTTTTCTCACTTCTTTTTAGGCAGAAATCTTTTAAGAATCTAATGAACTCTACACACCCTCTTCTGAAAATCATACATACAAACAAAATTTTGTTTGATCTGTATTTGCCTTTTTAAAAAATGTTAACCTTAGAGACCTGACACTGGTAGGAAGGCTGTTACTAGAATTTGTTAAACAGAATTTATCGGGTGCTTGCCATACGCCAAACCCAGCCTGAGTGCTTTACGAGCATTATCTAATGCAGTCCTCTAACAGCTCCACAAAGGGAATGTCATTATCTGCCATTTTACAGCAAGGAAATGGAGGCTCAGAGTGGGAAAATCACCCACTCCTGTGAACTAGGTTCACATATGGGCTGATCTTCCAACTCCTTTTCCCTATCCTAGAGCTGCCTCCAAAATGCATACCCAAAAGGAGGAACTTGTCAAACAAAAATACTTCACTGAGGGTGAGAGACAATAAACGAAGCCAAAAGGAACCTAGCTTCAATCAAGACCTCATATATATGACGGCTCCAGGAGGCTGCCTCTGAGAGAAGCAGTGGAATATAAAAGCCCAAACTGTCCCATTATGATTTTGCAGATAACTCATCTTAGGAACTTAAATATTACCAAACCTAGGGCAAGACTAGTTAATCTCAAGCCAGTGTCTTCGCTTTATAATGAAATAATGCAGGTGAATTGCAAAGAAATGTATGATTATAATTAAGAGCCATGTCAACAGAATAAATCCCTTTGGGAGATTGCCTGAAAATAAGCAGAATCAAGGGACGGATTTGTTTATTTCAGTTGTTATAGCTGATCAGATCAGGGAGAACTTTGTAACTTCTTTAATAATTAATCTGAGTTAAACCATCAGTGGTCATAAATTAACTCAAATAACAACCAAGTCTACAGAAGTTGGCATTTATGTGTTTTTAATAAAAAAATAGGTTATTGGTTCCACCTGATGATGTAAAAGACAGGGTCACTGATCACTGATCAGCTTTGAAGAAAAAATTTTTTTAAATTTTCTTGATAAAGTGATAAAGATTTGATTCAAAGTCTGTTTTTTAAGAAGATGTGGAAAAATATTTTCCTGAAAACTACTGTAACCAGAAAAAGTGAGCACCTCTCCTCTGAGTGTGTGGGGCACCCAGTGCCTACCTCTATCATAATGTTTATTTCATAGTATTATAAATATCTGTTACAGTCACCTTTGTTAGACCAGGAGAACTTCTGAAAGCAGAGATTGTGTCCTTCCTCACCGTAATAAGCTCGGTATCAAGTGCATAGTAAGTTTGCAAAAATGTTTGTTTGAAAGTAAAAGGAAGCAAAGGAGGGAGATAAAGACACCCATGGAGTGGATCAAGTTGTTAAATGTTTGGCTTACATTGGCAGAGACCTTTTCTGTTTATAGTTTATTTTATTGAGTTAGTTAGAACCCAAATCATTGATTTTAGGATGTGAACATCAAATTCCTCATTACACGTCCTCATTATAAGTAGAAGATTTGTCTGAGTTTGTATTCTCAATAAAGGGATTATAATTTTCAAGGAAGGAATCTCCTTTTATTTGCTAAAGTGTGGAAGGAGCAGTTAGAGGTCACAGTCAGTAGAAAGGAGAAAGTATGTGTCAGTTCCCTGTTGATACACATTGTTCCTTCATTCTTTTTGAACCTTTGTCTGTACTTGGAGGCCAGTGAAGGCACCTGAACCCCCAAGCATTTGGCCTTTCAGTGGATTAGCCTGGAAGATACAGGCAATAATGTGTCTGTTTTAAAATGTCAGATAATGAAAATTACATACTTACCTTGCCTTGCTGTGGATGTGCACTGATGGTAAGATGGTATAGGATAGTGAAATGAGAGTGGACTCTGGAATTTGAAGATCTGAGTTGAGACCTCAGGAGCATCACTTCCCACTGGGGTCGCGTTGGGAAAGTCTCCATCTCCAGAGTTAATTCCTCATGTACATGTTGGGCATAATCATACTGCAGTACCTTTCAAGGTTTTGAGAATCAGATGAGAAAATGTATGTGAATATACTTTTGAAACTAAAATGTAAATTATTAAGATATTATTTAATGTGGAAAACAAAGAATAAAAAAGTTAACAATGACTGTTCAGGAAATCTGGTTATTATACAGGAAGATTTTTAGGCAAAACGTTGTATGAAAGACAGTCCAAGAAAGTTTAGGACTCTTAATTTACCTCCCCAAATGTGGGCTGTTTCTCCTCCAGAGATAAGAGTCCCCAGGCAGATTGTTAGTCTTGACATTTTGTCTATGGTGTGTAGGTCCCAGAAGGCAATTCAGTTAATACAAAGTTTATTCCTGTAAACTCTTATCAATAATGACCTTAAAGATCTGACAATAACAATGTCTACTATTTATTGAAAACTTCCTAAGTGTCAAGCACTTTACATATTTTTTCACACGAGATAACTGCCCGCCCCCATTTTACTGATGAGAAACTTTAATGGTAGAATTGAAATCTGACATCAAAACCCCGAGCTCTGAGCCGCTGCTCAGCTACTTGGCCTCAGCTGAAGACTAGGGAACCTTATGATCCAGTTTCCTTATGCTTCTGTTTTCCATTTTTTAATTAAAATGATAGTACCCTCCAAAAACCTTCATGAGAATAACTTAATTACAGATACTTTTAGGATGTCCAAGTGAAAGAGCTGAGGGGAAAAAAAACTGAAGAAGTAGAAGGGTTTTGTTCTGTTTCATGTATTTCAGGCCCTAGTCTAAATTTAATTAACTTAATAATATTAGGAAATTGTTTTTCTCTCCAATTTTTCTGAACATAAGTGTTTTTATCTTTCCAGTCATGGGTCAGATTCAGCCCACCCTTCTACCTTCCTGAATTCTCTAACCTCAGGGTGAAAGGTTTGATTTTAGAAAGAGAAAAGGAAAGAAAACATTTGGGGAGAACAATATGACAGCTGCTTTGGGACAGAGGATGATTCAGAACTGTATTCTTTTTTTTTTTTGAAGTAACATTGGTTTAAAACATTATATAAGTTACATGGGTACGTTATTTTTCCTACCTACAGCATGCTCACTACCAAAAATTTATGAAAAGTATTCTGGGATCCTGTGTGCAGACATGTAATTTCCAGTTATCTTATGTAATTGGCAGTCTTTTGCGCCCCCTCCAAAAAAACAAAAATACCCAGCAGAATCACTCAACTCATTCAACAGCTATTTACTTAGCAAGTACTGTTTGAGTACGTGTTATGCACTGAGATATCTACCATGTTAGCTCATTGACTCTTCATTCTAACCTTCTGAGGAGGTACTCTTGGGAGCCCTCTTTTTAGATGAGTAGATTGAAGCACAGAGAGTTAAGACATGTTCCCAAGATCACACAGCTAATA